TGATCTTGTACTGTTTTCCATGTAATCGCTCTCTTATGTTAACTCTAGATAATGTACTTTTTCTTCTTTATCTCTTCATTGGATAGCCATGAGACTCAGTATAACGAAGCATTTAATACAAAAAAAAAGGAAACCGAGTGATTTTTCATAAGCAAATGAATAACTTAATAGTACTCCAATGATTCTATTGAAGGGCAACAGCTTATTACTGTCAGTAGAAGCAACCATCATTGTACATCAGTCGTTGAGAAATGTGAAGTCTCGTAGTCCGTTGCTATTGGATGAAATAACGATATCAATTATTTTGAGGTGGCCACCCTCAACTATTATAGCAGTTTCTCTATTTTTTCCAACGTAATAATTCCACTTATAATAAGCCATGTTGTATAATAGAAATGTACTATAGGATAGACTTTTATTCTCTCCACTAAAGGGAGGGGGGGGGGGGAGTCATGCAAAATAAGTAACTACTTGAGATAACGGCTACTAATGCTGTATCTTCATCTAATTCGATGTTTTCAATGTTTAGCTCTTAGCTGATCAGATTTTTTCATGCTCTATGAGTTCAGCTTGTCAGCGGTTTTCTCCGTCTTGCTATGGTGTAATCAAGTTTTTCCGTTCTAAAAGTTTAGTTATCAGATAGTTTCTCTACCAAGTTCTCGCCTAATCATATTTTTCTATGCTCGGAGTTTAGGCAGTTCAATAGCTAGCTGTCTAACTTTTGTCCAAATCAAGTTTCTGAAGTAAGGAGTCACGAATGGTTAAAGACACTCGAATGTAGGGGAGTGACGTTTACTTTTTCGCAGGGATAAAACTTTTTTCTCTCTTCGCAGACAAGAAAAATTTTACCTTTCGCTTGGAAAAAACGAAAGTTTTCTATAATTAAAGGCGTACAATACTTCGATACTTTTCAATCGAGCCAGTTGTGCAGGATGCTCAGCCACTTAAAAGATTTTGCTTTTCAGCTCGAGTGTATTCAAATATTTGAAAATGCGAAAAGTTTTTAAAATATCGTTAATAACTAAAGTCTATAATTTATTCGAATAGGTTAGAATCTTCATTTAAATGTTACATTTTTATTTGAAAATTAATAGTTATGTCTTGTGTGGGTCAGCGTTTCCTTTCATCATTCATCAATATCTTCCTAGCTGTACTATAAAAGCAAGTGATAAATAAAGCCGTTAACTCAGATGAGAATTATTGACGGATTCAGTAGTTCGACGATCCGACAATCGCAGTCTCCTCGCCAATAGTAGCAACAACAATGATTTTTAGAGAGGGTTTCATTAATAAATGTTAGTATAGAACATTGAAAAACTTTAAAATCGAGAGAGTCGTCAAACAATACCAGTTTCAATTATTCAACAGTGATCCCAATCATTAGTAAAGCTTTCCGATAGATAACAGTGGCAAATACAAAAACAATATTGATTTCATTTAAAAATGCTTCAAATTAAGTAGGATTCAAAACTAAAACAGCGCTAAAAGTTCATATTTAATTAAGAAATTTAAGTGTTTTTGAAAGTTCATTTCAATTTTTTCTTCAAACAGAAAATCTGTTATTCTCTCTAAATGTTGTCGAAGAAACTCTGAAACATTGTGGTGAAATATGAATTATTTTATTGTTCAGATTGCTTTCTTTAATATTCTATTTAGATCTTTCCTAGATTAAAATCTACACTCAGATTACTAATTTCAAAAATCAAAATATTAACGAGGGAATCTCTCTTGGTGTGAAATCGCTTTTTAGCCGAAATTATGTTCATTTGATGAGTAGTAGAAGAGTCTAGAAAGGTTTGATTTTTGAAATGTTCATGCTTGAGATATCGAAATTTTACTGTGTTTTTCAAAAAAAAAAACTCTGCGACCTCCTCAGCTCACGTGGAAAATTGACTTTCAAGTTTCAACTTCAAACTTTGTATGGACCAAGTTCGCAAAAATATTAGTTGATTGTGCAAGTTTTAACTTTTCTAGTAATTCTTTTCTGTAGATGTAAATAAATGAACAATTATTGCTTTTACACAGAATAGAAGATACTAGATAAGTTAAAACTTCTACAATCAACTAATCTCATGAAGAACTTTGTTCATACAAAGTTTGAAGTCGAAACTCGAAAGTCGATTTTTCACGTGAGCTGAGATGAACTAGAGCCTTTGGTTGAAAAATTAAGTAAAATTTTTCCTTGGTAAGTTGAAAGGAGAAAGATTAACGACAAGGAGAGTATGCGATAAATCATCGGTATTTATATCAATAAAATGTCGTACTCTTTGTCCCTCAATTAAATTTAAATCTTTCATTAGAACAACTTGAACTCACATCATTATTGCTGACATTATCATCCCAATTAAATTTCCAAAAATAATGTTGTAACAATGCAAATATTTATTTCGTCTCAAACTCATATAGAACAATGGTAGGAACAAGACTTAATAGAGTAACTATGGTCCATTTTTTTGTCGACATATAGGTGTAAAAGTTGATTTTATTGTTGATGTTTTCAAAAGAATATAACCGACTGTAAGCGGTCACCTACACTTTACTTTCGAAAACATCAACAAAAACGTATATCAGTAAGAACTATTTATGCATTTGTGTATTTTGGATGTATGCCATGACTTTAAGCAATCCGAACATTACTGGTCATACAAAAATTAAAAACTGAATCTTAAGTAGGTTTTACTTACCTAGAAGAATAATTTACACTTAAATTTATTATTGAAGCCTTCAATAATTTTGATTTGTTGAAGCTTATATAGATCACAGGCAAAGTTACACTTAAGTAGAATTTGTTTTTAATTAAGCGCCACACTATGAAGTAATTTTCTGTCATTTAATTTTCGTTTGCATTAAGAAAACATAGCACGCAGTTGCTTTAGTTTTTTTTTACTAAACAAAGTATTCATGTTCATTTATTCATCTTGTAATGCCTATACCAATGACTTCTACTGCATTGACATCGGAATATGATTTTCGAAAATATTTTTATGAACAAGTGAAAGAACATTTAAAATTTTTCGAGTATTAAATTCCTAGAGAAGGCAACTATTATTCTACCGCAGGGCACACATAAGCTCAACAAGTCCTGAATTTTTTGAACAGGAAAATAACTTAATAAAACTTGACAACATAATATGCTTATACTTTATATACTATAAATGGACCTCGTAGAATTTGAAGAAACATAAACATCGACAAAAAAAAACTGTTAGAGCAATTTCTGTAAGATTAAAGTGTGAAACACGATGTCGCTACTGCTGCTCATCACAGGAGATTGTTTTATTGTATCTATTTTGAAACACATCTTTTTATCAGCCTTTTATTCAATCATCCGAAAGCACTATAAGGAGGTAATTTAAATAGTAGAACGAGATGTTATGGGTGTGGGTGTGGGTGTGGGGTGACGAATGTATCAATGTGTGAATCTGTAGAGGATATGAATGAAAAGAATATTCACATCCACATCCTTACTAGTGTCAATCGTTTTTGAGACTGTCAAGATATTTACATCAATCTGGAAATGAACAGAGAATCAATATCAGTCTTGAGCTCAAAAAATTTTTTTAATTTTACCTTAGCTATTACTGTTAAAATAATATCTAAAAAAAACAAAGTGTGTTAAACTTTTTGCACCTCCGTTAGATATGAAATATTTAGGTTTCATCATTATCGGTAAAACGACGACAAAACGCGCGAAATAAATCCAAAAATGAATAGGTTTTAACAGGTTTTTTATAGTGGGTGTGGCAAACTGCCATAACGTTTTGACTTTGTTTAAGGGACTTATCAAATAATTTGTATTTTGATCGATTCTACGAATAGAATCAAAAGACCAAAATCATACTAGTTTGTTATTTGAAAGCTAAGCCAGTTGTTTCTAACAGATGTTGCAAACTGCCATAAGTATTTGAGGACGGTTCAGAAAATGAGATTCAATGTATTGTAAACAAATCGAATAAGTCGATTTCAACTATTGCATTTCATCAATCAACAATTCAACGACGATCAATAGAATTGATTGCTGTACTTGAATACTGTGAATAAGAATGCAGAGTTCAATGCCGACGCATTTCATCATCATTATTAAGATTTACTCATTGGGGCTTTGCATTCCAAATAAACTTGAGTAAACTTCATGAAAAATAGAATAAAATAAAAGATGTAAAGTAACGACAAAAAAAAAGTAGAGAGGTTTTAGCAATGATTATTTGACAGCGGATATGGACGATTGAAAGCTGCCATCACAGATTTTGTTCTTGCTAAAGAAATTCATCAGCTGGCGTATACAGTCAGATTTCCAATCATTAGGGAAAACCTTTGGGTCGATCATGTATCATCCTAACAAAGACAACCAAAGACTAGACTGCATGATCTTTTACAATACAAAAGGATGTAATGACAACGAAATATCAGTGAGCGTGGGTATGACTGTTCTCTTCATCCACACTCAAATCTGCATCTTGCTAAACAGATATTTCAAAATCTGATCGGTAGGATATTTGTAGATGAAACGTTCAGAAGCTTCTCGAGTTTTATACTCATATTCATTGATCAATTTATGGGATAATATGGTTGATCGATATGACCAAAAACAAGCATAGCTTCTGTAACTTTTGCTGATAGCCACTTTTCTAGTAATCAATCGAAACTTCTTCAACTATAAATGGCATTAATAAAGACCGATAGACTTTTCAAAATGTGGCTTCTATGAAGCAGCGCATCAAACAATTCCTTTCTAATTCTTACTTTTCCGAAGCAATGCTCAAGTATCAGTTCTTCTTCGTTACGATAAGAACTTCGAGTATTAAAATAGTAGTTAAATATAGTAGTCTCAATGATTTCAGACGTTGCTAACAAAAATGATATAATAGATTTATCTCGAAAAATACAATACAGATGCATACATTATAAAATATTATCAATCTAAATATCATTATGAATATTAAAAAAATGTTAGAATTATGATTGTTATGGTTTCTTTGAAAATTTTAGTTCATTTTCATTCAATTGACATTTATATTACATGTTCGTCGATTTCGGCAAAGGTTCATACCATTTACAAGAACGTTCGTTAATGATGTATTTGCATCGAGTGTATTAGTAAGATCACGTACTCCTTTTGGTCCAAATCGGTTACCCGAAAGAGATAGGACGGTTAATGTCTGTGTAGAATAATAAATGTGCATTGAGAATAAAAAAAGAAAAAAACAATGTCCCTTACTTTGTTGTCGTGCAAAGCATCAGCTAAATATTTTGCACCTTTAAGTCCAATATGATTTTGTTGAAGAGAAAGTGTAGTAAGTGTCTATAAAGCATGAATGTTATGAAAATTGATCAAATAAACATAAAGAATTTAAATCACCGTATTAATTCTTAATGCATCGGCGATATGACTTGCTCCTAAACAACCAATGTAGTTTTGTTGAAGATCTAGTGTCAGGAGTGTCTGAATTCAATACGAAAAGCACTTATTTGAATACTATGAATGAAAAATAATCTAACTTACCTTGTTTTCTCGCAATGCGTCTGCGATATACTCAATTCCTTCGTCTCCGATTCTATTCCAAGAAAGATTCAGAGTGTTGAGCATCTATACGTAATAATTAATCACAATAAGAGCTAGAAAAGAAAAAGAAGAGATGTGATTTACTGTGTTTTCCTTCAATGCATTGGCAAGATCTTTAACTCCCTTTGTACCAATCAGATTTTGCTGTAAATATAATGTTTCTAGAGACTATATAAAAATAATATTCACAAAAGACGTATAAATAATGAAATCATTTTACTGTAATCGTATTCATTATATCCGCAATATGTTTTACTCCTTTATCGCCGATTCGATTTGACTGTAGATCAAGTGTAGTAAGTGTCTATGTCGAATGACCAATACCAATATAAAATAAATACACTGAGAAATCTTTGTTACCTTGTTTTTCTCTAATGCTTGAGATAGATATTGTGCGCCTGTAAATCCGATTATATTGTTGCCAAGAAGCAATACCGATAATTCCTAAGAACATTCATATAATCACAGTTAGAAATGTAGTGACATGAGAAGAATACTTTGTGTTACCTTACTATTTTGTAGTAAATCAACAAGATATTTTATTCCTTTACTACTGATTTCATTCTTTGATAGATTGATTTCAGTGAATGTCTATATGAAATGAATTTTTAAGTACGGTTCATAAAATAATCAATATATAGAAATAGCTGTAACTTTGAGGAAATGGATAACGATAAAGAAAAGACAGCTATGCACTTCCTCATCTATATACATTTCAACTACCCTAGAATATGCTTCACCAGTTGTATGCTTCTAACAATGTGTAACTTTGATAATAAATTTCTGAACGTTGTATTTCTACGTTCTTTTCTGATTAGAACTCGATATGAACGTTCAACTTTAAATATGTCTTACACGCATAAATCCAAATTGCTTGCTAAAGAAGCAACTCTCATCAAATATATACAATGAACAAGTGTAATAAACTTTGCTAATATGAGGTTTTTGATTTTTGTCACAACTTCGTCAAAGACTCGAGTCTATTATTTTTCAGCTCATATAGAGAGATGAATATCTTCAAAATAAAGTTGCTTGTGAGTTTTAGAATGTTGAAAATTACCCTTAATGCAATATACTATTTGATGGACAAGACTTAACTCATATGATAGCTCTCTATTTAAAGAAGATATATAAGAATGATGTTAATAACTAGAATGAGTTCTAACCGTAATTTCGTGATATTTTTCGGCCAAAATCTTCATATCTTGGTCATTCAAGTGTTCATCACTCAAATCAAGCCATTGTGAATTTTTTTGATCAGCCATCTTCTTTTCAAGCCATGGATTTTCATATGCTGAAGATTTATTTATTTGTTGTTCGACTCGTCCACATTGGAGAATATCTTCTTTGATTTGAGATAACTTTTCGAGTCCCTGAATATCATATTGAGTTCTCGTAGGAACTTTTAGTTTGCGCAGTTC